ATATTAATTTTGTCCTCCGATTTTTTCCATGAAAAAGAAACATAGTCAACACAAGAGTTTCAACTTTTCCGTTCTCCTATTTACATGGTAGGAAACCAAACTCGCTTTTTTTTGCTTGTTTGCATCAATCACGCACATTCACCATCAGATCACCACTGGCTTTTTTACTGTGTTTACATGCAGTTTATCTGCGATGTGAAAATTAATAGGAGGGTTATAAAATGAATAAACCCTGTTCTGGCTTACTGGTATGTTGGCTGATAATGTCCTTGGCTGAGAGATTGTCCTCAAAATTTCATATTTTCCCTCGAAGCTTCGCTTCTCGGCCAAATATTCATTTTTCGGACAATCTCTCAGCTGCGGACATTATCAGCCGACATACCAGCCGTTCAAAGGGGTTTATTTACTAAATGATGTCTATTTTCCTCACTCTGGTCATCAGTATACAAATTCTCCATACTCTTCTGTATACATTTCCTAAGTTGCTTACAAGGAGAATTTTTTAAACAATCAAGAACTTCTTTCATTTGTGATAATTTTCCTTTTATTTATTTTCATGACCTTAGGAGAAGGGGGGGGGATGGTACAGCCAATCACAAAAATTACTATTTTATATGGAGATCATTCAGAAGCCATTTTGTTTTAACATGTTGTTCATGATATTGATATTGGTTATAGGGATTAAAAAGCACTTTGCAGACATTGGATGAAGAAATGCCAAGGACTGATGATAGGTATAGAGATTTAATATTAAACCTATCAATTCATGTATAACCCAGCAATATCAGTTGATTAGAGTCTTACCATCAAGACCTCAACTGTCCAAAGGGCAGATGATGCTATCAAATGGATAAATTGCTGTCCTGCTGATTAAGACCCCATCCACACGTAGGCGGATATTTTCGAAAACGGACATTTTTTTTCTCCGTATTCGAAAACAGCCACATCCACACGAATTCGATAAATCTCCGTTTTTAAAAATCTACAGTCTGGATAGCATATCATTAATGTTACCAAGAGCATTGGTTACCTGTGGATGGGAGGTGCAAACGGAGAAAAAAATCTCCGTTTTCGAAAATATCCACAGCAGATAGGTGTGGACCGGCTCTTAAATTGCTATCTAGGGGATAAGTTAGTCCAGACCTAGCTAAGAGTTTTTTTGTGGGTGTATACCTGTCAGCTTCTCTTCCTTCTGTGTTTATTTTTTTTATCCAAATTAAGGAAAAGCCCAACCCCCCCTCAGGCCTCTCTCCTAGATCAGCCACTGGGTAGTAACAAATCCTACTGTGATATTCACGGGATTGTGATTCATCCAGTGTGTAGTGTCGTCCGCCCTTCAAACAATTAGGGTCAGGTGACTAGTAGTCTTTAAAAGTACCTTAGTTAAGAACATTGATTGATGCTTCAATGACTGGAAGTCAAAGTCAATGGAGGAGTTGTGTGTCAGGTGAGTGTTCTAAGTCTGGTTCAAGAAAACCTATCAGTCAGTTTTTCTGGAGAGTTATCAACAGAACTATAGAATTTCAGGAGCTTTTGATTCTTAGTAAAATAGTCCATTTTACTGTTGCATACTTGGTGGTCAAGCCTTTGACTAAGGGTGACCTTTTTATGATCATTCTAAACATTGCTTGTTTTCAAAGGTGAATTACTTTGTTATCATAATTTTCTAAGTACACTAGTATACTGACATCTATCTCTGTCAACAAGGTCACCATCAGCCTCACTCCAAATCAAAGGCTTGGCAACTAAGTAAACGAGTCAGAGTAAAATGGCCGAAAAAATGGCGTATTAGGTCAGTTTGTTTATTGAAACTTTACAGAAGTGCTGTACTTATGACACTAATTTGAATTTCATGAATGTTGCAAGATTTTACTGTAGGATGAAAATATTAGTGTTGTTTGTTTGACAGCAGCGCTCCTTACTTTGATTTTCTCTTAGTATCAGTAACCGTGCTCAACTTGCCAAAGAAATGCACATTGAAAAGCTCATGAAAAAGAACAAGGTATGCCTGATTCTTCAATTTTTGCAGTTGATCTTGAAGTTATCAAATGTTAGTTTATGTTGCGCATGAAGTGGGACAATCTTCAGGTATTTTTTAGCCAAAAGATACTAATTGTACCTCAAAAATAATAATATGACAAGTCAGCGAAGAAAAGCAAAACAAATTAAGGTGATCTCAAATGTTACTTCAAATGTTACTTCAAATGATAATATTAAATATTGCTGATTTTGATAGTTTTGAAGCCTTTGGTCTTGTAAATTGTGTAAAGTTTTCTATTAATTATTTTCAATTTGTAGAGTTTACCCAAAGTATTTCTGTTATTTAAAAAGTGAGATGGCTTTTTGTGGGATTTGAATAACCTCTTAGTAGAAGTAAGAAAAAAAAAGTTCTGTTGTAAGGGGGGATATACCAGTAATGTGAGCCTCTCTGGGGTGCAGAACATGTTTACCAATCAGTTATAAATAAATATTAATCTTTTTCCATTTTTTTCTGGGGGGGGTGAAACTCAGGGGGGCTTCTTTCTCTCCCCTCCCTCCTGCCCTAACCCCACTGTCTGTGTGTCTATTCTCACTGGCAAGGAGAAGGAATTGACTGTTACAGTAGTAGCTTGATCATAAAATAATTCTCACTTTGATTGTTATGGCATTCAGAGGGGGGCTTCTTTCTCTCCCCTCCCTCCTACCCTAACCCCACTGTCCATGTGTCTATTCTCATTGGCAAGGAGAAGGAATTCTGTAGTGGCTTGATCATAAATAGCTCTCACTTTGATTGTAATCAGTGTTATGTTTTATCTTAATATCTAGGAGCTTCCTGAACCATTCCGTACCATGTTGGAAGTCATGGTTAAGTATATCAAAGAACAAGGTGGCTTGAGTTCCTCGTCATCAGTAGTAGCTGACAAAGTACATGAAAGACCAAGATCATCCAGGTATTAATTAAGTTGTTAACACAAAATACAGAAAACTCTCATGTTCAGGAGAACCTGACATTGCGTTACATTTATGGTATTTTTAAAATGAGTCACAGGGATCAAATGTCAAGTACTTTTACTTTGTTCGAGATTTTGCCGTGTGTAGAACGATTATTCGCCGTGGAGGTTTTGTTCTTGGTCAAAATAAAGTAAAACGTTGAGTTTAACCACGGATTTATTGAGTTGTTCTCAACATCTCATATCAAAGGAAGAAACCTGGTGGAACAAATGATTTTTAAGTTGCCAAAATAAGTTTGAAGTAAAAATTTGAATTCATCTATGGGAATGATGTATTTAGCGTGAAATAAAATTGAAGACATTTATTGGTTGTTTTGAAACTGGTCTTTTGTCTGTGTCACCATATTGATTTGTATGACAGATTACAGTGGCCACTATTAACTACACAAATCCCTTTAAACTGTTGACACTACCAATTTTTAGAAATAGTGAATTTGCCATTTTATTCTTCTCAAGACTGCTTTAACTTGTACATTCAAATTTTGTTTACATTTTAAGGGGAGCCAGAAAAGATACAGGAAACAAGGCACTGGCGCAGCCATCAAACAGTGATATTACAAATCAGAGTGAAAAACTTGATGATAAAGATGACAGAAAAGGTTATGATGATCTCTTAAAACAGCTGGAAAAACCAGCAAGAAATATTCCAGCTACTAAACCAAGCTTGCTAACCAATGATTTAAGGATAAAATTGAATTCTGATGAATCACATAGTACGGCAGGGAATACAAATACACCTGTTTCAACAGGTTCTAGTGGTTTCTCAGAACCTTCAATGACCACACCCTCAATGTCAAGTGATCCAAAGGCAAAACTCAAGAGTAAAAGAAGACCAAATGCCACAGGAGGACCAGTTATCAGCTCTGGATTGGCTGGTAAGAGAGATTCAAGGCTGCGTCCTGGTAGTGGAAGACTAAGCAGCAGCTTGTCAGGTTTGAACAATGGAAGTTTGTTCGGAGATGATGACGAGAGCAAAGAGCAGAACATTGCACAGAATCAAAAACTGGATGTGCAAGAAAATCATGTAAGTAAAATGTACGATTTACCATTTAAAATTTCTTTTGTAACAAGTTCAAATATTGTGATGCGACTCACTATTCAGAGTTTTGTTCTTGTAGCTTTTATGGTCTGAGATTTTGAACAATGTTAAATTTATATTTAGTTACCCTGACCCCATGCAGGGCTGTCCAGTCTGCCACCTTAAGCAGGCATTTTAGCATAATTGCCCTATTCAAGTATCATTATACAACTATTGAAATACTATTTTATTCATCAGGCATTATTTTTACTGAATGTGGCTTAGTTTATAATAGCTCAATCTGATGCAGTACCAAATCCGTACCTGGTTGGCATAGATACAGTCTCTGAATCAGTTTCTGTTTTCTGCAATGACTTGAATTATTGTAGCCTATCTGTAAAATATGATTAGGGGGGAGGGGGTATTTAGAATTTTAAACCAAGTATTGAGCTGATTCTAGACTATTTATTAACAAACCTTGTGCTTGTGTATTACTTTATTTGCATGGCATTATACCCATAATCAGACACATGATTGTTTTCTTCTCTACCAGATTGATAGGCTTCCTAGGTCACAGGATTTTTCACTTGATCAAAGTAGCAAAGATCGCCACCAACTGTAAGTGTACTGGCAGGTCCAAAATTTTATTCTCCTCACCTTTTTTTCTCTCTCTCTTTCTGTCCATCTGTCTCTTTCTTCCCTCTTTCTTTAAACTCCCTTTATTTCTTCTTTGTCTCTCTACAGCTGAGTGACCACAGCTGTACCTTCTCTGTGTGTCTTATACCTTCCTATCTGATATATTATTTTGTATTTCTAAGTAACTTTAACTGAATAATATGATGGTAATTCCCCGCATTTCAGGGGCGACATTTCTTCAAGGGAATCAAGGAAAAGTACATCGAAGAGGAGCTCAACAAGGTATTTCTGTTTCTAGAGCAGTAATTTTCTTCTTGNATATAATAAACATCTTATTAACCGAGCTAGGTCGGTCTGTATGGGAGAATCTTGACCTTGGTCGCTGGTACAGACCACACTGCATTCGGTCTGTACTGGCGACCTCAGTCAAGATTCTCCAATACAGACCTCCCGCTCGGTTAATAAGAACTAAATGTAGCGTGTCAGGGTGAAGGATTATAGTTCACAAGACTTGTCAACCCTGTAACTCCTAAAAGTGATAAACATGTAACTTCTCTCTATAATATCCATACCTCATCCTGCAAACAAGTAATGAGAATATTCAAACTTATCAGGAAGAAGTTGTTATCTTGATCCAACATCAAATTCTCGTTCCCTATTTAGGAAGAAATATGTCGCAGCTGGAAGGGAGAATTACCAACCAGACTTTGGGAGTTTCATGGTTAATTGTCAATTGATTTTATTAGAAATTAATACACCACTTAATTATTTGGAGGTTCATGCTGAAGTTTTTTGTTTTTTTTTTTGTAAAGTTCAATTTATAAGTATTGAAATATTTCTAGTCTTAAATATGTACAAGTCATGGTTCCGGAAAATGAATCAATGAAATTTATTACGCCAAATTTTTAGTTCACTTGTTTCCAATATTGAGAGTGCCTTGTTTGATAGTTTGTTTCATTGTTTTTTAAATCAATTTTTTCAGTGACATTTTGTTAATTTGTTAATCAGGGCTTGAAAAATCTTATCTTTGGAACTGCTACAGCGAGCTTTAATCCGGAATGGAGGAATCAGAGCTTTTCTTTCTGTGATCTTTATCAATTAGAATATGGAATTGTGCAACTAAAGGTAATTATTGTGTAGCAGTTTTTGGCAAATCTTGGTATTTTTGTAAGTTCTTACTTCTTCTTAACCCAGTGACATCTAAGGGTGACTAAAATATAATCTCTCGCCACGATATTGCCCCTGGATCTCACATTAAGGTCATCAGAAGAAAAGAATTGATCACCAAATAAGGAAGCTCGACCTGATTGTTAAAGAAACTCTCCATATCAGACCCTAAGGAAATGTTTAGAGAACAGTATGGAGAATATGCATATCAGGGTGTAAAGAGATAAAACCTGGCAGTGACTAGTATCTCGTTCACGAAGAGCGGCATTGTAATACTTTGAGATGACTTACATGATGCGTAATCCGTGATGCGTGATGTGTGATGTGAGATGCGTGATACGAAATTCCTTGTACGTGATACGTGAGCCAGGTTGATGTGATTTTCTCTTGGTAGGGTGGGCCATGTGGTGTACTTGCTGCTGTACAAGGATTTGTTCTCAAACATTTGCTGTTCGGAGGAAAGAAGGGAGACACGAAGAAGTAAGCATTGTTCGCTTTTTTCATTTGGCACCTGCATTTTTTCGGTGGCCTCTGGTCAATGTACATGTGACAAGATATGCAATGCTGCAATGTGTCTGAGCACTTCGTTGTTGTCGGCAGGAAACTCCAGCCATCTTCCCGAGAGAGAACGAAAGCTCTAACGTCTGCTCTGAGTGAAATTCTTTGGAGGGCAGGAGACCACAAAACAGCTACTGTAGCTCTGTAAGTTCAGCAGATATCTAAGAAATGTTCAGGAAACGAGATCTTTGGATGAAACTTTAGTTTAACTGTGTGCTCTGGGGTTTATTGTGGTGAGCTTGAAGATTTGAGCTCTACAAAATTTACTGACGAATCTTTACAATAAAGCGTTATTTTACACTTGTTCTCTCTTTAAGACCAACTGGTGGCTCCAATTTTTTTGGTGCCGGAAGATACAAACCCGACCAGCTGACAGAAGCGGTGAGTATTTCAATTATTTTCTCCAGGTAACCAATTATGGAAAAATCTCGTCACTTGGCAATTTTGGTTAGTAATGGACACATTCCTTTCAAAGGTGATCCAAGTTGTAGGTAAATTTTTTCCAACTTTAATTGATCATAAATTTCACGATGGTGTGCTTAACCTTTCATTTATCTTTCCAGCTTGTTTTGCATGATTTCAAGTCATCTGAAAGTCTTCAAAGCTTTCTCGCCCAAAACATAACTCAGGTAGGGTACAGTTTGCTACGTTTAAAAATTTACCTGCCAAGACCGGGAAAGACGGCACGCCATAACTTGCAGCCATTTGTAGATGTATTTGCAATATTTTGAAACCTTAAATGCTATTAGTAGTTCAGTATATTTTTTATACTCTTGTTCAGAATTCCAACAATTACATGCAACCGTTTAGATAGTCTTGAATGTCAGTGGTTTCTGAGGTAGTGAACTCCTTCTAAACCAAGGATTAACAGGGATGGCCAAAGATGTGCAATGATGGCCAAAGATGGCCAAGAATGGAAACCATTTCAACAGATTGCAGATGACGAACTTTTTAAAAAGGCTTAAGTGAAATTTTTTCAAGATTCTCAAACTATGATGTACCGCCTTCATTTTTCATGAATTTATAAACAATTAGCACAATCTACACTTGTGATGTGGTGTATCATTTGTGATGTGGTATATGCATTTAAAATATTTTCTTTGCTGGTGTTAAGTTCTTTAAGCTGATTAGATACGAACTTGCAATTCATGATTAAAAAAAGGGAAAATACAGTTCGTGCTGAGTTATGACAGCGTATGTTTTATTTTCCAGTTTGAATCTGACAAAAGTAGCGGGTGTATTTTGTTGTTGTATTCTGTGATGTTGTCAAGATCAATTCAAAAGTAAGTCTGTTTCCCATTATTTCTTTGGGCCTTTTTAAAGCTTACTTGTCTAGTTAACTAAGTTTTAGTATTAATCTTTTCCTAGGGTAATATTAGATATGGATGAACCAACGAATACCCTGATGGGAGCCCACGGTTATTGCACACAGGTTGGTATTATATTGCCTCGATTATAGTATCAAGCTGAGAAAGACTGTTTTTATCACAAGATGAAAACTGTCAAACGTAACGCATGCGCAAATTGTCTGTACTGGCCGGCCGCACACTAATCTGCCGCGCAAAATTTTAAGAGAAAATAGAAGAACTAGACCATGTCGCGCGAAATTTACGAAAGTAATTTGCAAAAGGAAGGAAAAGTGGCGAAAAAGAAATCTTGAGGCTTGTCGAACGCAAAGGTTATTTTACTACTGGTATTCTTTAGATGTACCACTTTGTTTTGAGCTTTATCAAAAAAGTTACATCCTTTTTAAACACCTTGACTCTCTGGTATGTATGGATGTTTATAATTCCTGTGAAACACCTTGGTTCTGACAACGTAAGAGCAAGATGTAAGGCTATCTCGTAATCGGTTAGATGTTTGCGCATATGATTGTTCTTTTTGCTCTGACATCTTTCAGATGGGAATTCCTTTGCATTAAGTGTTGTAAATTACAAAGACCTCAAAACAAGAGCTTTAATGCAAACTTGGCACACATACGATACCGCTGGCCTAGTATACGTTTACTCCTTGACATTCTCTCATTTAAGGAAATGGTGAATTTGATAGTCACTGGCAAAGCTTCGTCCAACACATTTGACAACATTATGGAAATCGATACTGGAGGAGCTAAGAAGGTGATGTTGCAACTTTGCTAATAAGCTTTTTTAAAGGAGGATGTTCCACGTTTTCTCGTGAGTGCAGGATGGAGAACAATCTCTCGAAGGAAGCGTAATCAAAATTACTAAGTTGCGGCGAACTAGCTTATCACTAGGCCCTCTTGTCAAGGGTTGGAGAAAGATGAAAACGGGAAGAAAATGAGCGAGAAAGGGGTAGGGAAGAAAGGCTCCGCCGACACCCTTACCCTTACCCTTACCCTCCCCTCCCCCCCTTTGTCGTCTCCCCTCCCCCTCCTCCTAACGGCCGCATTACTTCCTCTTCGTACCCTCTGACCAGGCTATGGTGAACAAGAGACTCGATAAGCAGCCGCTGCTCGATAAAGGAATGGACTCTAGGTGCATGGGGTGTGCTGCTTAGGTGAACAATCGATTGCGTAATTTTGTCCTTTTTCCGCTGGTTTGCACACTTTGATTGTCTAATTATCGAGGACTGTAATTGTAAAATCACTTTGCGTTTCCTAAATTCTCTCTGTAAATTGCTCTCTTTTGTAGAATGTTTTTAAAGGAATAGAAAAACAAAGTGACATTGGACTTCTATCGCTATTTGAACATTACAAGTCATGCGAGGTGAGCTATATTTTATTTAGGTTGTCTTTGATCGTTTCATGTTATAGGGTAAATCAAAATATTGTTACCACGATTAGGTAGTCACTAATTAACAAATGGTAAACACCACAGCGTACACTATTGAGTTATGGATGCACGCGGGAGGTTGCTAAGCACGAAAGAAGCGTAAGAGTCGCTCTCGGCTATCGCCTCGAGCGACTCTAGCTTCTTGAGTGCTTAGCAAACCTCCCAAGTGCATCCATAACTCAATAGTGTACGCTGTGGTGTTTACCATTTGTTTTATAACATAACATTGATACATTGTAGCTAAAGAGTTCCCTTTTATTTAACAAATCTTACGTGACCAGAAAAAACAAGCGCGCGCGGAAAAATAGTCTTTGCATTTGCTCACGTCAGCAGCGTACACCCATGGGCAAATGGGGGACGCTAAATTGACCAATCAGAGCGCGCGCTTTACTTTGGTTATGTTATAATGGTGCGTAGCTTAATTTTATTTGTCAAGTTCGTCATGTGTCTTCGGTTTAATCTCTCTCTTGACAGTTGCCCTTGTTTTCTCTCACCTGTTGCTGGGTCATTTTTACTTTTCTTCCTTGCTCGATTTATCTTTTGTATCTCTTTAGAGTTTACGGTAGTTTCGCACCGTGAAAAAATTCCCACAGTTAACATATAAAGTCTCCTTATATATTGACTATAGGGCTCAGGGAGCTTTTAGACGATATATTACGTCAACTGTTGTTAGATTTTGCCTTAAATCAGAACAGTTTCTCTTCAAAGATCAGTTCGTTGATTCTTGTTCCCGTCACATATGATAACGAGTTGCCATATCAAGGCGAAATTAATTGTTGGTGACATTTTGGGCNTAATTGTAAAATCACTTTGCGTTTCCTAAATTCTCTCTGTAAATTGCTCTCTTTTGTAGAATGTTTTTAAAGGAATAGAAAAACAAAGTGACATTGGACTTCTATCGCTATTTGAACATTACAAGTCATGCGAGGTGAGCTATATTTTATTTAGGTTGTCTTTGATCGTTTCATGTTATAGGGTAAATCAAAATATTGTTACCACGATTAGGTAGTCACTAATTAACAAATGGTAAACACCACAGCGTACACTATTGAGTTATGGATGCACGCGGGAGGTTGCTAAGCACGAAAGAAGCGTAAGAGTCGCTCGAGGCGATAGCCGAGAGCGACTCTAGCTTCTTGAGTGCTTAGCAAACCTCCCAAGTGCATCCATAACTCAATAGTGTACGCTGTGGTGTTTACCATTTGTTTTATAACATAACATTGATACATTGTAGCTAAACAGTTCCCTTTTATTTAACAAATCTTACGTGACCAGAAAAAACAAGCGCGCGCGGAAAAATAGTCTTTGCATTTGCTCACGTCAGCAGCGTACACCCATGGGCAAATGGGGGACGCTAAATTGACCAATCAGAGCGCGCGCTTTACTTTGGTTATGTTATAATGGTGCGTAGCTTAATTTTATTTGTCAAGTTCGTCATGTGTCTTCGGTTTAATCTCTCTCTTGACAGTTGCCCTTGTTTTCTCTCACCTGTTGCTGGGTCATTTTTACTTTTCTTCCTTGCTCGATTTATCTTTTGTATCTCTTTAGAGTTTACGGTAGTTTCGCACCGTGAAAAAATTCCCACAGTTAACATATAAAGTCTCCTTATATATTGACTATAGGGCTCAGGGAGCTTTTAGACGATATATTACGTCAACTGTTGTTAGATTTTGCCTTAAATCAGAACAGTTTCTCTTCAAAGATCAGTTCGTTGATTCTTGTTCCCGTCACATATGATAACGAGTTGCCATATCAAGGCGAAATTAATTGTTGGTGACATTTTGGGCTTAAAGGATTAATGGTGAGATGATCATTCTGCTCCAATGTAGTTACTTATTGACATGTTGTTAGGTTGGTGTTAACTTCAAAAGCCCCAAGTTTCCCATCTGGGTCATTTGCAGTGAGAGTCACTTCAGTGTACTGTTCTCTGTGGACAGAAACCTCTTGGATGATTGGTAGTTGCTTGTTCTTTGTTACTTGATACACTTAAGGATGATCAGCCTCTTGTTGGCTGTTAGAAACATCCAATTATCTGTTGAATGAGTCGTTTGGAAAATATGTCCGATAGGTTAGCTACCACAGAGAAAGAAACCACTGTGGGGGGGAAGGGGGTTGGAAGAGGAGAAGAAGAGATTAGTTTAGGGGAGAGTAATGTCGGGATAAAAATCCACCAGATTGGCCGTCTGTCTTTCTGCCTTACCCATAGTTGTACTGTGGAACCTCCGGCGCTAACTGGAACTCGGAGACTTAACTTAAAGCCATCTCCTTTGAAGCGCACTTCTAAGGAAGTACAATGAACTAACCCGAACCCCTTCGCTCTCTCGGGCTGTTTTTCGTTTCCCTTTGCAGTCCATCTCAGCAGGTTTTGCTATAGTGTTATTTCATCAGTTTCAAACCCCTTTCCCAAGTAATTAAATATGTCGTGCCTTGATTAACCCTGAACGGTTAAGTTATCGGTTAAGTTAACGGTTATCTTGGCGTGAAACTCCCCCCCTAAAAAAAAAAAAATCACAGTGGAGGTACTAGGTACGATCTACGCCTTAATATGTAACTTTAAAGTAGAAAATATCAAATAGGAATTCATTATTCGTAAAAATATTTTGCTGCGTAGGAAGTTTGAAAAGACGTTTGATCTTTATTACTATGACGGTCTGGCCCGTCAAGAGGAGGAGATTAAACTAACCATAGGTAAGGACGTCTCATGTAACATCAGTTTACAGAAAACATTAAGGCGATGGAACTAAATGGTAAAACTCGCAAACCGTCTTGGTATTGTGTCTGATTGGTTCCACAAGGGCGTGAGAGCTTTCTCTTAGCCAATCACAGAGCAAAGTGACGGAAAGTAAAAGAAATCCAGGATTACTTTGTACACTTACTGAAATTAAGGACAGAGTGATAAATATGGAGTCAACCCTGGTTACACCGTCAAGTTTTAAAGTTGTTTGCCCTCTCAGAGTATAACTGGATATAACAGAATATAACAGAATATAATTACTCTATCATGTGGAAACTGTTTTGGAGGGTGCAAGTAGAAAGGTCTGTTGACTCGAAATATAATCAGGGTAGAATATTGTTGAGATTTGCTCGGTGAAGGATGTTTCACGTTTACGTGGTTTCCACAGTCAGTGAAGTTATTTTATCATGAATGTAAGTCATTTTAAAGGTATATTTGGCATATTATTCATGTTCACACTTCAATCTCTCGATTTGGCTTGAACTAGATACAACCAGGGAATGTCCGGAGTACAAAGACACTGATCTTGTTCCTCCACTAGAACACTGTATTAGAACAAGGTTTGTATATCATAGTGAATTAAGACAAGATTTTTGTGCTGTGAAAGCCTGCTCAAATGTTAGAAGTTAGCTTTGCAAAGAAAAACATATGTAACAATTGCAAGGGTGAAGAGAGCTCTATTCAAAACCTCAGTCTTTCGCGCTCATATTCTTGAAGGCCTGGATCGTTTCAAAATGGCGCCTGGCACACAAAAAAAATCAAAGTTAGCCAGATTTATGAAACTATCCTTAACTTTTCTCCTACCTGTATTACACAACATTTTCAAGTAATTGTTGAATGTCAACGTAACCAGCAAAGGATGTTCCTATAAGCTACTCGCTACCCTTAAAGCGGCCAGGTGCAACTGAAGTCTGTCCCTACTTTTCCAATTCTTCAGTTATTTTTTCATAGCCAACCTTTAATTCATACCAACGGACAAACAAATGACTTTGGACCATAGCCATTCCTACCACTCTGTGATAATTTGCGAATGCGATATGACTCACCAAAGAAATAATATTTGCGGCTTTCTCTGCAGATGGAAAAATGCTGTTGTAGACTGGAATGGAACGGAGCCAATTTTGTGATGTTCGCTTGCGTTGAATTCAATAAAACCAGGAGTTCTTCTGTGAGTGGATCTACAGACAAGAATTTCGACAATCTTGGTGAAAAAATTTTCCTTAAAATTCCTTCAGCGCTACGTGCATGGAATCTTCCCTGTTATCGCTACAGTGAGATACCTGAAGAAACTGTTCAAGTGACTCATTTTTGTTGCAGTGGTATTGTTCATTGTGTAAATAAACAAACAGATTAACGATGCAAGTTGCTTAGTAATCTGTGTAATGTAGTAACTGATATGGTAAAGAGAAGTTAATTTTCTCTAACACCCACGTCTACCTGAACCTATCGATAATCGATAAAAACTAATAGCACTCATACCAATATTTGTGGATTTCCAGTTAGAGATTTTAGTATCCAATAAGGACACAGTATGGTCCTTGCGAGTGTGCGAGCACTAAGTTTTAATTTGCGGTGACTATGATTGTCTCGCACAATTTTCACCAATTATATAGCCCTAATACTACTTAATTTTTCCGCGCTGTTTTCGTTATTTCTTAGTGGTTTATATGTACAAAAGAATTGAGATATACAACTAGTTCTGGACATGGAGAAGCCGAACGTAATCCCAACTCAACAGGAATCCGAGCATGCGACCAACTGCAAAACTTTTTCATACGCTTGGAACCGAAAGAGCCTTTTGCAAGCTCTTGAAATTTTGCCATTTTATCATTTTAAAACCAATTAGTAAACAAACGGAAATCTTAGGCCTCTTAAAATTATTCACTTTTGTTGATTTTATTCACTGAAAAGAGGTTAAAACAAGGCAATATTAACCCAACAGCTGTTGTGCTCGGTAATTGGTCCCACTTGGGGTCAATACAAGAAAACAGTCCCAGCTGTTTTTTTTTTTTTCTTTTTCATCAGTACCTGATGAAAACATCCACTTGATACTGCATTTTTCGAAAATTAATTTTGGAAGAGACAAGATCATGGATCGAATGCTTAAGAGTCCAAAAGGAATTCAAAATAGGAAGAAATTTAACATATATACTACAATGTAAAGGAATACAGAACATAAAATGTTCACGCCTTTTATTGAGCCATCTTAAGCTAAATTAAAAACGTAACCTGGGTGAAGAACAATGGTCCCAGGATGTTGTTAGCCTAAATTTATAGTGCTGCGATATCGAAGTTAAACGAAAGCATGCTTGTATTCCAAGCGTTTTTCCTGCCATGGTTAAGAAAGGAAACTGGCATCTTCTTTCGTGCAAAACAACTAGGAGCCTTCTATTGTGTTATCTTTTTGTTATGTTTTTTTCAGTGGCCAACAATAGACGCATTTCGGTAATCAAAATTTAAATATGAATAGAATACCATCAAGACTTCTTCCACGCGTCTGATTGGTACGTAACAAGAGTGCAGATTAATTAGAGCGTGCGCGCGATGTTAATTTCTCGTCTGTCCTTACTTTCTGTGAAGTTTTTTTTTTCTTTCAAGTAAATAATCCGCAAATAGCAAGATGATTTCTCGTTCAATTTGGTGCGATGAGCACTTGTAAAGTTTTCAAAGACTACAAATTCACGAGAAATCATGTTATTAATTGTACCAGTCATTGCACGCTTCCATAAGATATCGAATCAAAGGGTTTTTTTTTTTTTCGTAATTGGAAAACCTTTTCCAGCAAGATGCAAACGTTACCGCGATGGCAAGATTTAAAAAGATTTCATGCTCTTGTATATATTATGTTTATTTACAGATATACAGATGTAGATATATAGATTCGTGGCAAAGAAGCCGAGCATTAAAAATAATTAGAAGCAATGCAATATCCAAACAATTATTTGAAACGATGTTAAGGTTCCTTAAATTGTCCCAAGGGTATGGTCAACACCAAAAGTTTGGTGATAATAGGCCAGACATCTCTAAGTCAACAAAACAAAAGCAATTATGCAACAAACGCGCTTAATTATTCTGAAAGTCCATTTTTAACAACACCACTCTTAAATCGCTAGTGCAATCATGTTGGAAGGACTGGCATGGGTCTGTCTGGCAGTAATCATAGTTAAACTGATCGTCGATCGCTTTACTGCCACCAAAAATCTTCCACCTGGACCATTTCCTTTCCCGATCCTTGGTAACGCGCACAAATTGGCTGCTGATTCACGCCACGTTGACCTCATGAAACTGGAAAAACATTATGGCAAAGTGTTTCGTTTGTATCTCGGTAGCCAGCTCGTAGTAGTCGTTAGCAGTGGAGAAGCCCTAAAAGAAGTTCTCGTCACAAAATCGGCCGATTTCGCTGGACGTCCGAATCTCTACACGTCACAGGTTTATTCCAAGGGAAAGGCAATCGCACTGGCGGATTATTCTCCGGAATGGCGGCTGCATCGTAAGATTGCAGTCTCTGCGCTCAAGATGTACAGTAACAACAGAATAAACCAAGGATCCGTAATCAACGAGGAATTTGACCTGCTGTTAAAAAGAATCCACGCCAGAAATGGTCAATCACACGACATCACAAGAGAGATACGACTGGCTGTGACGAATGTGGTTTGTGCCGTGGTGTTCGGTTCGAGATTCGAGCTCGACGACCCGGAGTTCACAAAGTTCTTAGATATCACCAACGCTCTAGCGAAGATGGTTGCTGCTGGGAGCATTGTGGACGTCTTTCCTTGGCTCAGTTGGATCCCATTCAAGTCTCTGCAGAATCTCAGAGAGAAATGCAAGGAGCGAGACGAACTGCTAGGAAAGATATATGGAGAACATGTGGAGGCGAACAGAGTGTTACATCCACAAGACCTGACAGATTCATTACTGAAGGCAAGAAAGGATGCTGAAGAAGAATCCGAAGTCAAAGGATTCCTCACCGACGAGCACCTTATTATGACCATGAGCGACATCTTTGTTGCTGGAATGGAGACCTCTGCAAGCACCCTGTGTTGGGCGCTGATATACCTGATTCACAACCCTGACGTGCAGCAGATGCTGCATCAAGAGCTGGATCGTATCATTGGTCCGGATCGTTTGCCTGAACTAGGAGACAAGAAGAATCTTCCGTACTTAGAGGCGACCATTACAGAAACTCTGCGCATCTCGTCTCTTCTACCTTTGTCAGCTCCCCATAAGGCAACAGTGGACACCACTCTACAGGGATACAGTGTTCCCAAGGGAACTACAGTTCTAACTAATCTCTGGTCCATCCACCACGATCCAGACACCTGGGACGAACCACACAGCTTCAGGCCTGAGAGGTTCCTAGATGAAAATGGTAATTTCGCTGCACCAACATTTGACCGTTTTCTACCGTTTTCTGCTGGGCGCCGTGCTTGCTTAGGAGAGCCCTTGGCACGGATTGAGCTCTTCCTGGTCCTCGCACGTTTGTTGCACAGCTTCAGGTTTGAGAATCCGCCCGGCTTTGATCTTCCCAGCGTTGAGCCCATTGTGGGAATCGTTTTGATACCACAGCCGTTTAAAGTCTGTGCTCTGAAAAGAAGGGATGTCACACTTTCCAAGTCATGAAAATAAAAAGAGTTCTTCTGTTTCTTGTTCGTGTATAGGTTGAGCGGCAAACTATTTGACTGTAGGGTTAAACTCTTGTTATGGAATATGAACTATTTATTCCCATTGCATTCAGGAAGAAACGTTTCATCTTAAGAATGACTCATAATGAAGCCAAGAGAAAGTATTTCAAAGCTGCCTCTGTTCTCTTGTCGAGATATGGAATGAAATGTTTCTTTTGGTGTGACGATAATGGCTGTCGATTTAACCAAGACATAATGCATTACTCTGTAGATACGTTATTTTTCACGTATCATTTAAACCGTGAGATAATTTCTCGAACTTTTTCCTGATTCCTGATTAAAAATGTGTAAATCATCGCACTAAATGTTTGTTCTTAATGATGGTCTGAGGCACTATTATTTTTCGTTAATTAATGCACACATATGAATGATTTAGGATTTTCAACTTCATTTGCCTCCGGCTTTAGGTTCACAAAGAGCGTGGGTGAACACGCCGCAAAAGCTCCACAAGTGTGGCGACAGGGCGCCTAAATGCTCATACGGAGAATACCCTTTATCTACAACAAGTAATGTTCCCTGTGCATTTGCTAAATAGTTTTTTTTTTTAGAAAAAAAACCGTCCCTTTTGTCTTTCAGTTACACCGTTAGGAGCAAGGTTATACTTATTTAACTATTGACTGTCTAGTTTTAACGTTTTTATGTCTTTGTTTTGTGTTGTGTCAGGGCTCCATGTATATCAGCCCTGCTAAATTTAATGCCCCTGGATAAATATAAGTATGAAAAAAAAAGAAAGAAAGACTGTAGGCCCGATCTTAATTATTTACTGCACTTTTATCAATTTGCAGACTCATACAAATGAAACCAAAAACTTACCTGTATTAAGAAACGCGTAATACTTGGCCCACCCTACAACCTGCTTTAAAAGAAATTTCGAAAATGTATTGTCATTTTTGTCATTATCAGCGTCACCATCATCATCATCATCATCATTAGCAATGTCATTTATAGCACTTGATCGTTATCATCGTTATTATTACTATTATTGTTGTTATTATTTTTATTTTATTATTACTATTATTGTTATCATTAATGTTTCTTTGCCCTATGGACGGTCCTTTACCGGGGAGAAAAATGTGGCGTTTGGGTGGCCATTATTGTACCCGTCATTCCTACGATAGCGCCAACATTTGAAATCTCTTTAAATTCTTTCAAATTAGCCCGGGTTAGTTTTCTACATTTTTGCCTTTCAACATAACAAATGATAAACACCACAGCTACACTATTGAGTTATGGACGCACGCAAGAGGTTGCTAAGCACGAAAAAAGGGTATCGCCTCGAGCGACTCTAGCTTCTTGAGTGCTTAGCAAACCTCCCAAGTGCATCGTTAACTCAGTACTGTACGCTGTGGTGTTTACCATTTGTTCTATAACATAAAAAAACAATTTCTTGTGAAACATTTGCGCGCTTGGAAACATTTGCTCACGTTGGCAGTGTTCACCCTTGGGCAAATAGTAGACACTGAATTGACCAATCAGAGCGCACGCTTTACGTGATTTATGCTATAAAAAGTGTTTTAAAGTTTTTACGTACAGAAACACGGAACAGGAAGAAAAAAAGTATGTACTAAGTCATAGAGACATCCACTGATGAGAAATTTGACATTTGTTTCTCATTTAGCCCTTTCACTCAATATCTGATCGTTCATTCTCCCCTCTTGCTTCTACACCGCTTTCTTACAGTTTAGCTTTGAGAATTTGGTGTTAGATCAGTTTTACAACTTCTACGTACCTGAGTGATTAACATGCATGTTCGTTATTTAATATCCATTCATTATCCAGAAAATAGGTAATGAGAATACTAACATTTATCAGGAAGAACTTGTTAGCTTTATCTCATACCAAATTCTCGTCACTAATATACAAGGAAATGTGTAGCAGCTAGAGGGGAGAATTAACAATCAGATCTTGCGAGTTAAAGGATTACAGCATCTAAAGCATCTTACGTACTCGGACAATTCATGATCACCCGTGGAAGTCGCGGCTAAAGTAGTCTACTGTATATAGCAAAATGAATCCTCTCTGGTTTATGCCATCGATAAATTCAATCAACGCTGCCCTTAAGACCTCTCTACTAACTATGGAGTCTGACGTATTGAGCGCTCGCCCTTCGCCTTAAAGCGTGAAACGTCAATTCAAACTTTTAAATAAGCTGACGTTTCGAGTGTTAGCCCTTCGTCGGAGCGACGACGAAGGGCTG